AAGAAAGCAGTTCGATTCCACAAAATCCGGAGACAAATGGAGACGCCAGGTCCACCTCCCAGAACCCTGACGCGGGAAGCTATGGACCAGATCCGGTAAGACTCGGGAAACTTGCTGACTGTGATGCGAAGTGAAGGATGCTGGTGCTACAACGTGGGTTTGTCATTTTAAAAAATATTTTTTTTTTAAACAAGGGAGCCGTGCACACCTGTAAACCTAGCATTTGGGAGCCTGAGGCAGGAGGATCATCATGAATTTGAGACCAGCCTGGCTGCATAATGAATTCAAGGGCAGCCTGAACTGCATAGTGAGACCCTGTCTCAAAAGATGACCCCCCCAAAAAAAAAATATTTTTGAGGTACTAGCAATTGACACGAAGCGACATCCTCAACTTTTTTTTTTTTTTTTCCCCCTTTTGGAGACAGGATTTCACTAAATTGCGCAGGTTAGGCTCAAACTTGCATTCATTTGGCCTCAGCCTGCCAGAGTGCTGGGATTACAAGGGGCACCAACAGGCTTGTCTTATATTTTGTTTATCATTGAAAATTTAAAAAAATAATAAAAAATTTAAACAGAAAGTAAATAATAAAATGCAGTTGTAAACTGAGATTCAGGTCCTGTAGATTCAATGATTTTTAACATTGACCCGTTGGTTCATTTTTTGCTTAACTTTTTAAAAAGCAAATTGCAGATGCCACATTTGATATCTAAATAAATCATGGGGTTCTTAGCCTGAGATCTAGAATGGGCCTTCCATGGTTATATGCATTTTCCATAACTTAGGAAATCTTTTTCTTTTTGCAGGGGGAACAGGGTCTCATTATGCAGTTCAGTTTGGCCTTGAGCCCACTATGGAGCTCAGGCTGGCCTCAAACTCATGACTCATGGCACTCCTCATCTCACAACCTCCAAAATGCTAGATGACAGGTATGCACCACCACACCTAGCAGAGATTTTTTTTTTTTTTTTTTTTTTTGGTGGTACCGGGGATTGAACTCAGGACCCTGTGCTTGCCAGGCAAGCCCTTTCATTCTAAAGAGCTATCTCCCCAGGCCCAGAAAATCTTAAAAGAGATCATTTTTAAATTTTAAATTTAGATTTTTTTTTTCTTTGCATTACTGGAGATTGAACTCAGGACCTTGCGCTTGCCAGGTAAGCACTTATTCTACTGAGCTATCTCCCTGACCCGAAAAAATTTTTTTCCTTTTCTTTTTTTTTTTTTTTTTCTGTGTTTTAGGGAAGGGTCTACAGGGTGTTCAGGGTCTCATTACTAGGGATTTGTAGTGTGATCTGCCTGTTTACAGCCTCCCAAGAGTTGGAATTATAGGCTGTGTCTCAATTACCTTCTCAATGAGCCCCAGGGGCAGGGCCCTGGGAATCAAATCCCCGGCCTCTGTTCCTGCTTGCAGGTGCTTTGATCCGCTGAGCTATTTGGCAGGCCCAGAAAAATTTTCTCTTAAAAAACACTTTAGGGGCCGGGGAGATGGCTCAGTGGAATAAGCGCTTCCCTGGCAAGCACAAGGGCCTGAGTTCAATCCCCGGTTCCACAAAAAAAAAAAAAAAATTTACTAGACAGTGTATTACAGATGGCTCAGAATTACAGCTACAACTTGGTATATATAGATGTATTTGTCCTACCCAGTTTTCTATGAGTATTTCTATTGGTTTTTGTGTCTTCAGTTTCCTTACACAAATACAAGCAAGTATGAATTTAAATTTTTACTTCTTTCTTCTTTTTCTTTTTTTTTGTGGAACCGGGGATTGAACTCAGGCCCTTGCACTTGCCAGGAAAACACTTATTCCACTGAGCCATCTCCCCAGCCCCTAAATTTTTACTTTCATCTTCAGAATCACAAACAGTAACATACTATGAAGTCTAGACAGTACTTTTTTTTTTTTTTTTTCACTTGATGTATCCTTTAGATTTTTCCATTCAGAAGACAAAGTTATTCATTTCTTTCCAGCTTAGTAAGTCATAGTTTATTTGGCCCAGCTTGTTGGATGTGTGAGTTGTTTCCATTGTTTTCACTTACAAACAGTGCTGCAGTGAACAGCTGTATACACATTATTTAGTGTACCTGTCAGGAGTATTTGATGTATGTGCTACCAGAAGGAGGCTTACTGATAAAAAAGACAAAAGTTTTTACAACAAGGGAAAGCAAACAAAACAAAAACAACAAAAAGAAGTTTTGATGAATGTGGTTAAATAGCCCTACATGGGTCATGTACCATTTGAGAATGAGTATGGTTGTGACTTAGAATAAAGAGGGTTTGTAGTGGTCAGGACTTGGAGGCTGCAGCACCTCTCTCATGGGTCCCCAATCAGCTCCCTGCTGTCGAACGCAGAGCCACATGTGTGCTAGGCAAGTGCTCTTCTGTACTACCAAGTTACATTCCTATTCCATCACCTCTCTGCTGTCTTGAACAAACAGCTTTTCAAATCCTAGTGAATCCCTTTTTGTGGTCAATAAATGTCTTTAACGTCGAAGAAAAAATAAAATGGGACATTAAGTAAGCTTCTTGGTCCTGCTTGTCACCTTCCTCCCCCTCCCTTTTCCCTCCCTCCACTTCCCTTCCTCCTTCCCTGTCTCCCCCACACCCGCCTATGAGACAAGGTCTCACTATGCAGTTCAGGTTGATCTTGAACTCACTGTCTACCTGAGGCTGGCTTCAAACTCACAGCACTCCTGCCTCAGCTTCCAAAGGAGTGCTGGGTTTATGGACCTGCACCATGTGGCTACCTTTTTTTCTCATGCTCTACTTCTGTCTTAGAAGTGATAGCCCTCACTTGTCTAGGACCAGTCCTTGGTGTGCTTTAGGTCATATCCTTTCATACCTGCTCAGGGACCTCTGTCTGTTGATTTAAAGCTCACCATCATCTAAGTCTTTTAAGTTGTCCAGACTGGCAAACTTATCCTCTTGCCTGAGCCTGTCACAGTGCTGCAATTAAAGCCCTCATTCCTCCTCTATGCCCATCTAGTACTAAGGCTGCTTGCCTGGCTAACTACCTTTGTTATTGTTTGGTGTGTGTGTTTACTACAATCCATCAGTGATGTCTTCATTTCATTGACACTGCAGTCTCTAGCCTTCTTAACATTTGTATAAACTAGGCATGATGGTGCATGCCTGTAATCTCAGCACTTGGGAGACTCAGGCAGGAGGATCTCCTCAAGTTCAAAGGCAGCCTGGACTGCATATCAAGACCCTGTCTCAAAAGAAAAGAAAGAAAAGCGGCAGCATTTGACCCTGTAAATGAAACTCTCTCTCCTTGATTTTAGAGTTACACAAGTTTCTCAGACTCAGTGTGTACAAAATAGCATTCATCATTGTTTCACAATAATGTTCTTTTCTCCACAACTCTTCAACCACCCCAGCTAAGATCCTGAATGTGGCCTTGATACTTCTACCCCCAGTACTTAGTAGTTCTTACCAGATGTTCCTAATGGACCCTTCTGAAACATTTCTTGGCTCTCTTGCCCCGTGTTCTCATTGCCACTGTCTCCCTGCAGACTGCAGGCATTATTCTAACAGCTTCATGCTAGTCCACTTGAGCTTTTTGCATTCTATTCTTGTGGTGCTAGGGCTCTAACCCAAGGCTCTGACAGTTGCTGAGTGGTGTTCTGTCACTGAGCTGCACACTAGCCCTGTAGGTGGAGCTTCATAATGAAAATTCCACTGTTGAAAATTGCTCCTGGGCTTATTGTTGCTAGGTACATCACAGGCTGCCAAGCACAGCACAGTCTTGCTCCTCCCATCCACACCATCAGTGTGATTCCCAGCAACAGTGATATGCTTCTCTGCTTACTGTCAGTATCTTCTCTGCTCTGTCTGCCCCTCTGTAGGCTTACCGCTCCCTGTCATCCTTTAAGATCAGCTCACCTTTGGACGACTTTGTGAAGCAGTGTGTTGTGACTACTTATCCTTGTGTCTCTGGCCTGGGTCCTTTTACTGCCTCCTGTGTCATAGCACTTAACCATAGCATGACTGTGTGATATATCTGTCTGCCACAGAAGCAGAGATCTGAGGTCTTTCATCACTCTGGGATCTAATGTATTATTGGACTGAGTGGGAAGCGTTCACAGGATTGAAGTGAAGGGACTTGAGAGTGGTTGGGTCTTTCTGACAGAGGAGTAGAAGGGCCATTTAACATGTTTACAGTAAGACGTAATTCATATGGCTTACTGCTGGGTGGCTTGAACCACCAGAGGTATATCCACGACTATCCCATCCAGTGCTTTTTATTAATTTTATTAGTAAAAAGACCAGTAGAAGTCATTAAATACAAGCTACCTAGGGCTAGAGACATAGCTCAGTGGCATAAGTGCCTGCCTGACAAGCACAAGGCCCCAAGTTTGATCCCTGGTTACTGCCCCCTCACAAAAAAAAGAAATAGAAGAAATGCAGGCCACCAGTAAGGTAGTCATGCAAGTACCACCAATGGTTCAAGCTGGTGGGAACATTAATTGACACAGTATAAGGAGTACATTTACAGTCTTTCCAAACCTTGTTACTTACTTATCACTAGTATTAGCAATGAGCTATTCTGGTAGGAGACTCTCAAGTTTAATGCCTGTTCCTTTTTCCCATAGCTATCTACACAAGGAATTTGCAGATTCCTGGTCAGTTTCCCAGTTGGCCGAAGGCTTTGATGTCAGCACCGATGTTATTCGAAGGGTTTTAAAAAGTAAATTTGTACCCACTTTGAAGCAGAAACTGAAGCAGGATCAGAAAGTCCTTAAGAAGGCTGGGCTTCCCCACTTGGTGCAGCAGCTGCAGGGCCCTGGAGATGGTGGGAAGAGCCTTGCTGCAGGCCACAGTGCATTGGGCTCTTTGCTGCTGCCTGGGCAGGAAGCCTTATCCAGAGGTCAGAGCCACAGCTCAGCTTTGACGGCACTAGAGCCCAGCACTCAGAGTACAGCTGCTCTACAGGAACAGAAGGGAAGGAATAAAGGAACTCAGGCCTTGGAGAAGGAGAACTTTGTGCCCATCACTACAGCCTCGGATCATCAGAGAGAGCCGAAGTCCTCCATCTGACTATGCAGGCATTAGAAGCACCAACAACCATGGCTTGCCAAGTGGTAAGAAACTGGAAGAATGGAAGGCAGATGAGCCAGGTGGCCAGAACTTCAGCAGCAGAGTAGTGCAGAGGGGGCGGGAGGTCTTTGACAGCAATGGAAACTTCCTGTACAGAATTTGAACCAGGGTGTGGCTTATGGAGATGCCATGTGAAACAGTGGGGCAGATGGGGAGCTGTTGGGATTTCTACACCACCACCATCCCCTTTTAAAACATTTCCACTGTGTAGCCCAGGCTAGCCTTGAACTCAGGGCAATCCTGCCTCAGCCTCCAGAATGCTGGGATCACAGGCATGTGCTACTAATCCTGCCAGGATTTCTGCATGTTTTAGTTACCCTGACATAGAAAAGTGTGATGAGCCTGGGATGTGAGCTACTCAGGTAGAGTGAGGCTTGTCGGAGCACTCCCCCACCCCACCTGACCCTGGCGGCTCTTCAGTCTTTGTGCCCCTTCTGCTCGGGCTCTCTGTGTTGAACACTAGTGTTATGTGTGTTAAGCTGAGTTTCTGTGACACTTGTAGTAATATGTTTAAGAGGAAATGAGTTTGCCTTCTGCCTTCATTTACTTCTCTATCCCTAACTACTAAGCCTTCTGAAGCTGCTTAATCAATTGGTTATTTTCCTTATGTGTAAAAATAAAGTAAAACATAGCTGTCTGTGTTTCTTGGTTCTCTCTGAGATTGGAGGATTTACCTGTGAACTTTGGAGGGTGATAGAATGGAACAGCCAGAAGGGGAAGCATCTTTGTCATTGAACCCTGGGAGAGACTGAACTACAGGCATGTCCAACAAAGGCTTCTGTGCAGAGCACCTGCTCAGTGGCTGGTGGGTTTTGACAACCAAAAATGGCCCAACTAACTTTGTCTTAGTTGCTAGGGTTCTGAAAGAAATTGAGTGGAAGTTTGAAAAGAAAAAAACAAAACTGGCGAAAGGCTTTAACTTTCCCAGCTGTGTTCTAAAGCTTTAATAAGTTACATCATTGTATAGATGACAGCAAGTTTCTATAATGGTTACATGAGGTGGGCAAGAAAAGACAGTGAGCCCTTCTCCAAATAAAACACCCTAAGTGGCAGTACTGGAACTTGAACCTAGGTCTCCAATAATATAGGGCTTCTGGTGTCACTGTTTGGCATAGTTTCCATTAATTTATTGATTCTTTGGATATTCTTTTTTTTTTTTTTCCAAAGTTTTATTGATAAACAGATAGCAATGAGACAGTTTCAAATCAAATCGGAAGTACAGTTTCAACAAATAATACACTGCATATATTCTTCTTAGTGGTTAATTGCTGTACAAGATGCGGACTTGTGATCCTATTTACAAACACCTCTTTGGATATTCTTAAATTTAAATGTATGCACAATGTTAAAATGACATGTCAACTCTTGTCATTGCCATTAGTTGGCATCTTGCTATTTTTGAATGTCAATATTCCCAATTGCAGTATCATTAATAAGTAATTACTAATGAACATTCATTTGCCTATAATGGAAAGGCAGTGGAAAGCACTGCCTTTTATGATTGCCATCAATATCCCAACCTCAGTCAGGGCACCTGAATGTCCAAGCAGACTTGTTCCTTCTGTGGCTGGCAGTGGTCTCAGATCCTGACTCTCTGATGGTAGGAAACTCTGGCTTCTGTGTTACAGGGAACACAGGCAGGCAGCTGGCCTGTGGGATAGAACACCACTCTTGGTCTATATTTGCTAGGCTGGGGGTCCCATGATTCTATGAGCCTCTCTCCAAGGCTGTCCTGTTCCACATCTTGAAGAAGACACCACACTGGATGAAGTGGAGGAAGTAACAGTATGTTTCTATCCAGGAGCAAAAGGCTGCAGGTGGAGTGGGGTCTGCACAGCAATCTTGGGCGTTGGATCAGGAGAGTGGCAAACTACAACAGAAGGCACTTCAGCCTCAGCACTACAGGGACATACACATTCAGAGCAGTTTGGCAGCATTCACCTGTCAGTGCAGCTAAGATTTGATCTCAGGAGTGGTGGGAGTGTGGGGCACCCAAAAGGCAGCATAACTACAAGATGAGCTCCGGGAGTGGAGTATGAATATAAAGGTTATTATGCTGCTTAGCCTTGTATTCTAGAACTTTGCAAATATACAAAAGTAGAATATTATACAAGGAATCCCTTCATACTCATTACCCAATATTTTCCTTTGGTTTTGGAAATTGAACCCAGGTCCTCATTCTTCCACTGAGTTATATCATTCCCAGCTCTTACCACTGAGCTGTATCATCCACTGAGCTGTATCATCCCCAAGTCCCACCCCCTTCCTTTCCCTCCCATCCCCCAGGCTGGCCTCTAGTTTACATTAATCCTGCCTCAGCCTTCCCAGTGCTGCAATTATAGGTGTTGTCACTGCACCTGGCCCCAACTCTTTAATTTTATATTCTGATAGCAGGTCTGCTGTTTAAGTGACTCTTTACACGTGATTTAAATTTCCTTTTTTTGTTTGGCTTTTGTTTGTTCTTTGAGGCAAGGTCTCGCTATTCAGACTGGCCTCGAATTCACTGTATAGCCTAAGCTGTCCTCAAACTTCTGGCGATCCTGTTTCAGCCCTCAAGTGCTGAGATCACAGGCATGAACAACCCCCTGTCACACTCCCCACACTAAATTTCCTTTATTCTAAAGCAACCTCCCACCCACCATTTTAATTTTTGCGGTACCGGGGATTGAACTCAAGACCTTATACTTGCCAGGCAAGCGCTTGTTCTACTGAGCAATCTCCCGGCCCACTATTTTACTTTTTTAAACATTTGTATTTTTTTTGGTGGAACCGGGGATTGAACTCAGGCCATTGTGCTTGCCAGGGAAGCGCTTATTCCACTGAGCCATCTCCCCGGCCCATTTTACTTTTAAAGTCCGATCATTTGTCTATACAATTTTTCCGGTCAGTTTTATCTCTATGGCGTCTTAACAGGCGTGAAGCACATCCCAAACCTTACTTGAGTGAGAATTAGTTGTAGATCATTAAAAAGTACTTCAATATATAATTACTTCATCCTAGGAAAACATTCCTCCGAGAAATCAGGGACTAGAAAGTTGCTTTGTCGCCTCTAGTTTGCATATGTCCCTTTCCGGACTCCGTCTCCTTCCCAGTATGCTAAGCGCGAGACGAGAGCCTGGCACTTCCGGTAGGTGTAGGAAGTCGTTTTTTTGTCCGGAGGTGGGGATCTCAGGGAACGCCTTGCATCTGCGGAGGTAGACGGGAATCCTGCTGATAAGCTGAGTGGATCAGGGAAAAAGGAGTGTCCGTACAGCGGCTGCAATTCTGAGACGAGTGTCCCCGGAGGCTGATGCTGTCTGGCTAGGAGGTGGCCATTCATTCCTCGTTTCCGCCTAACGGACGAGAGCCCACCTGGGGCAGTGGGACTCCGTGACCAGGAGTACAGCTCAGATAGTCACCGTGCTCATCCTGGACTGCAGCCCGCCTTCTGAGAGCGGAGGACATCCCCCTCCTACCACACCGGGGCCCGGGTGACGACGGCCATGGCTTTTCCCCATCGGCCGGACGCCCCAGAACTGCCTGACTTCTCCATGCTCAAGAGGCTGGCCCGAGACCAGCTCATCTATCTGCTGGAGCAGGTCAGTGCCCGCCAGCCTGGCTCCTTTACAACAGTTTAGAACTCCCTGGACGCTTACGTCCTGGCTGAGTCCCTGTGATCTTGTTCTTGGTATCCTTGAAGCGTCAGGTCCAAAATGCCCCACTCAGCGAGAAAAAAGGTAGTAAAAGCCGCTGGGAGCCTGGCCAGAGAATTAATGGAAATGAAATTTTCGTGCCAGCAAGAGATATCACGCGTGCCAGGCATCTTGGAGAAGGGAGGGATGGTTAAGACACCTTTGTTGTCATTAGGGAATCCTACCTTCACTTCAGAAAGAGCCTTAAGAAACCCCAGCAGCCACACAAGGTGTGTCTGGTGATAAATGAACGATAGCTAGGTTGTCTGCAGAGTTCGGGATAAGCGCTCATATCTGATTAGGGAGTTCTTGTAGTTTTCAGGAGGCATACTGTGGACAATAAGCAAATTTTCTTTGGAGATCAGAGAGCATGCTGCAGTAGATGGTAGAGTGGGAGCAAAGTTGAGGTACCAAGAAAGGATGAAGTGGGCCTGGGTAATGCTCAGCGGCACAGCGCCTGCCTGGCAAGCAAGGTCCTGAGTTTGATTCCCGGTACAACAACCACAAAAAGGCATGGAGAGGCATGGAGCTATCAACTGTTATGTAGCAAGCATTAGGCAGCCACTGAAGGTTGTTTTCGTTTTTTATTTATTTGTAGCATGAAGCAGTTTGATGATTATTCTAACAGCATTATATGGGATGGGTTAATAGCCAGTTAGGAGACTGAACTAATAAAGACTCATGTAAAATTTGTAGCAGTGGGAACTAAGGGAAGTGGTGAATTTTTAAGTCACAGTGAAAAAAGACTCAAAAAAATTTTTTTTTGCATCTGACTCTGTGTGTGTGTGTGTGTGTGTGTGTGAGAGAGAGAGAGAGAGAGAGAGAGAGAGAGAGAGAGAATGAATGAGCATGTCTTGTATTGTTCAGGTTAGCCTTGAACTCAGTAGGTATCTCGGGGGGGAACTGAACTCACGGCAATCCTGCCTCAGCCTCCAAGTGCTGAAATTAATAGGCTTAGACACAACACTTGGGCCAAAGATTTATTGACACATTGTGAATGAAGAGGGAGAAGCAAAGCTGACCCTTGAGATTTTTAACCTGTGTTATTAGAAAAATAATTTGTTACTAGAATGGTAATGGATTACTTGCTTCATTGTTTAGTTACAGCAATACCTCAGTTGTCCAACTCAATTCATTGCAAATTCATGTTTGAACGCTGAAAACTTCAACAATTGAATATATATATATTTTTTTTCATAAGAAATACAGAAAACTAGGGCTGGCCATGTAGCTCAGCAGATTAAAGCGCCTGCAAGCAGGTGCAGGTACGGGGTTCCTCAG